AATGACTATTCTCTGGGCTGGGCAGAAAAGTCCTATAATCATTCTATAAAGGAAACTACTGCAGGAAATTGGATTATGTTTTCATGTACTAGCTGGTAAAAGCTTGGGAGAGCCCAGATTCCTTCTTTAGCCTTTGCGAAAGCACCTACTGTATTTCAGACTTCTATATCAGGGTAAGAGACAAATAGAAAAACAGCAGAATACAGCATAAAACTGTAATTTTCCAACAATATTTCTTCATGATTAATAGACTTACAAACGACCATCTTGCCTCTTTAAACTATAGGTAATGTACTGTACATGTAACAGTTCTTGAGGTTCCCGCCCTTGCCGCTCCTGCCCTGCCAGTTCGCCCCTCACTGCCTGGGCGTGAACTCGGGTCTCCAGCGTCACGCAACAGGGACCTTGCCGGCTGAGCTAAAGGAGAACTCCCTCAGCCCGGGCGGCTGAGATCCCTGTTATACATTACATACACAGGATTGCTTGACTCTTGCTGCATATTGTACAGTATGTCTACTGATTTGTTTTCTGAATAACCCTTCCAGAGGCTTACTGTTGTAAAACCAGTAATTAAAATCATAGTAAAAGCATGTCAAAGCAGAAAGGTGCATTAAAATGAGCCACATCCTGCAGGAAGCCAAGGCAGAGAAAAATAAATGGTGTAGGATTGGTAAACATCATCTCAAATAGAAGAAGTAAGAAGCAAATGTCTTAAGTTCATGTCATAAGGTTGCACCAGTAGCTTTAAAAGGCTGTGCTCTCAGATCTGAAGGAGAGTCTGACATAGAAGGACAGCAGAAGAGATAAAAAAAGAGATAAAAAACATGAAGGCTGAGACATTCGCCCTGCTAGTAGATCAATAACCCCTATGTACTGTATTGCATTACACAATAAAAATCTTTCTGGAATAATTTTCTTAACAATACTTGGTTTTTCCTTTTGTCTGGTAAAGCACAACAGCAAATGGATCTTCCACATCTTGAAATAGATAAGCCTGTATTGTAAAGCCTATATAAATAACAATAATCAGAAAAATGCTCTGCAGCGGATAATGGGATGTGTTCCAGGAGCTCTGAGAAGGGTTTTAAGATACCAGACAAGTTTGGTTTGTAAAAGCACACTAGCAGATGAAGAAAAAAAAACCAAGGAAACAGCTGATAAGGACAGAAATCTTGTGACCCAATTCATTGACTCTATTTGGTAAAGCTCTCTCTGCAGAAGAGCAAGTCAAAAGCTGTGCAGTACTAAATGGTTTTCTTGAGTTCTGTACTATATCTTCTTTTGACTCTCAAGTCTACAGGACAAAAACCATCACAGAACTATGTCTGATTTTATATTCTGACACAGTGTAGGGTAATGCAGAAGGAGAAAGAAAAAAACTGACAAAAAAGGAAATACAGTAACTGGTCTAGCATAACTGACACCTGTCCATTTTCCTCTACATTTGCAAGTTATCACAGGCGTCATGCAGTAGCTTGCTGATAAGCACAATACTTTCTGTTCACAACAATACACTAGAACAGCTGCTACTAGTACTAATAATAATAGGAATAAATCCCCGAAAATTAAATTCTTCTGTCAGTGGGTTGGATATACCTGTTGACACTACAAGAAGAAGCTACAGTATACAGTATAACCTACCAAAAAATCTTACCAGCTCCACACTATTCCTTAGCTTTCAAGTGCATCACACTCTCACTATAGAACTCTGGGCTACTGACTCTCAGAGAAGCCCCCTGTGCTCCACCTATTGTATACCAACACTTCAGACAGAGGAGATCTCCTCAGTTTCACCTTTAACTTGTTCATTTACTAATACATAGTGTTTTGTCGCTGCACAACAACTTTAATCCCTTCTCAGTAACTATTCAGTTTGTCTTTTTTCTTCTTGAACGCTCTAGAAACACTGACAAAATACTTGAAATTTAAAATGTATTGAACTGGGTTTTTTCCGACTATGTAATGTGCATTTGTCCCTGGTTGTCTTAGGCTGTCTGTGGTTATTTCTAAGATGAGTACTTTCAGATTCTTTTCAGGAAATATTTCTCAGCATGTAAGGTTGCTTTAAAAACAAAACATGATTTACTGATGGGCTGTCTAGATTTTTATTTTCTTAACATTTAAGGAAACATATTTAGAAAATCTCATGGGTGGCCAAACCGTGTTGTGGGGAGCAACAATTCAGAAGGTTTTCTAGCTCTCTATTAACTCCTTCATTTCTAACACTTAAGAACACTTCATTTCTGACCACTTAAGTAAGAAAAGTATTCAAATAAGCACTTGGGAGAGCAGTGTATATAAATACTTCAAATTCCCTGCAACTCTGAAGGAACTCAGATATCTATTCCTGACATACCTGAAACGGTTACTGTACATGGCAGGTAGATTTACATGTTCCCTGCAACTCTGAAGGAACTCAGATATCTATTCCTGACATACCTGAAACGGTTACTGTAAATGGCAGCTAGATTTACATGTTCCCTGCAACTCTGAAGGAACTCAGATATCTATTCCTGACATACTGTACCTGAAATGGTTACTGTAAATGGCAGCTACTGTAGATTGACATGTTCCAAGCCTTAGAAGAATTACTTACAGTATATGTATCTTTTAAGACATTTAAGGATTGTGACTCTACAGGGCCAGAACATCCCTGTAAACGTTGTTCTAGAACACATACAAAATAACTATACTAAGTTCTTTAACACATACTGTATTGTACAATAATATTTTTTCTCTCAACTTTACTGCTATATTGTTAAAGTCAGTCATTTCACCCACACAACGAAAAGATAAAAGATGAGAATCAAAAAACATAAAACCTTGCGAACATAATACATAAATGTTACCAAACATGAAAGTTGCACAAAAGAAAACTAAATAACTGAGGGAACATACGATACACATACTAATAGCCTTGTGATTCTGTAAGGCATCTCAAGTAGAACCTGGTGAATTTGCCTGCAAAGGTAAGAGCTCCAATCTGGATTTCATTTTAAATTGCCCTTGCTTGCAAAACTCTTTAGAGTTTTCTCCTTTAAAGGGTTTTGTAGGCAACATATGATTTCCCACATTTTATAACCTAATTTAATATCTCACTTTTGGCAATTTAATGCTCGCTTCTGAGAATTGAGTGATATTCACATTTCATGTTTCTTTTAAATAAGAGTCAAAGCTTCTCAGTTAAACAAGTTCTGTAAATGCTGATATCCAGCACCAATTGCATAATACACCGTCTTTCAAGATAGCCCATGTCCTCACACCTCATTATGAATGCCATTATCTCTTTTTAGAAATGACAAACTAAAAATAGATGACTGATACATTATTTAACGTTCCACTAATACAAGGCTGAATCTAACAGCAGCAAAAGAAATCAGCCTGCCATTCACAGTCGCAGAGGGAGAACAGTTATGACTGCCATCGATTATTTCTGACTCTCAAATCTTAATGCAAACTGATGGATGTATCACTGCAATAAATGAAAGCTGTCTACACTTCAGTAATGTAGGCATTGCTACATTATATTGGATATTGTTTAGTCAAGCATACATTAACAGATATTTGCCAAAAATATAGAACATTTCTTATATTTCTTTTGAATATCCTTTCACAATGAAATTTCAACCATGGCTTGACACATATACTTTCATTGTTTTACACATCAGAGATCTGAGCAAAACTACTACAGTGCCTTTGCGAGAATTCCTGGGAACCAGTCTGAGGAAGAGTTCTGTATGACTAGTTTTAACAGAAGGGAAACAGAACACAATGTCACTCTCTGTGCACAAAAACTCTGTGCACATCCCTCCAAAGTATAGTCTTTATATTCTGGATCAGTAGGTAGAAAATTCTACTGGAGCAGAAAGATTCACATTCCATTTGTATACTTTATGTGCATCTCAGTTCTTGAATAAAGCATATGTGAAGTCAATCAGAAATGTTCTTGGTCATATTGAACAGCTTTAGCATCAGTAGACCCGCATGTCCAATAGGAAGCCTAATGCTATCGTTTCAAGACTCTTTTTTTCCCCTTGTACAGGTATGTCTTAGAAAAATCTGTATTTTAACACTGTTTACAAGACATGCTTTAGTCCAAATATAAGAGTTTCTCCTTCCCATACAAATATATTACCTGTTGATCACAACCCACAGCCTAACTAGTTAGGAAGCCTACCACAGAATTATAGAAACCAAACCAGGCTCCATCTGCTAACAACTAAAACTGTAACATCATTGCTATGTGATGAGCAGGCATCTCTGGGGTAAACAAACTTCATGTTTAAAAACTTTTTAAGGTGATTAATTATTTTCATGATCACAATATTCGCAAAGAAGTATTCGGGTCATATCTCTCAATGACGTAAAACACATCAGATTTTTCCCCTAAATAGATTATATACAGTACAGTACTCGTTATTAAACGTGCAGTAAAAATAATTAACAGGATGTACCCACCACCATAAAAAGTTCGTTTTCACATGCATTAAGAATTGCAGTGAAAAGGCAGAAAACTACCCCAACTTGTTTAAACAGTAGTATAATGTTTATAGTAACACCAAACAAACAACTACGTATACATTGTTCTGAGAGAATAATGATGAATCTCCAAAGCATGTCATTCTGTATTCATAAAGTCAGTTTCACAGTAATTCAAGAAGCATAAAATTAACCTCTTGTCTTTTTCGTTGCCAGAAATTAACCGGACGCGAGTAGATGTAATAAAATTAATCATATGTAAGCAATATAATACGGAAAGACGAAATGAAAATGATACACACAGAGGAAACTTCACAGGTTTCGCATGCTCACTCGGAAAGCGACAGACACTCCCACCTCTCATTCAAGAATCTGCGAAATCAGAAGTAGCTAGAACATCTTGGTAGAGTCAATATGCCCAGCGAAAATGGAAACAAAACAAAGCTAACAAAGCCCAAGAAGGACTCGTCGGATCTCGGAAACAAACAGGATTTTTAAACGATGGACAGAAAATACAGTACCTTATGTTCCTTGAGACCACTGCCCCTAACCTGCGCTACTGCCCCGTTTTAACCCCTGTTCATGCTCTCTCGGTGTTTACAGTGTGCGGGAATGATCAAGCGCTCCTCTCCCCAAGTCTCCTCCTCTCCAATCCTTACATCATTCCAAATAGCGCACTCCCACTCGACATCACCATATGACTCACGCTGGCGATGCAAAAGGTGGCGGTGTGTACAAGACCCGCAGAAGCTGAATCACCCTTTGCATGTCTGTTAAAAAAAAAACTCGTTTCTGCGATGGCAGGCGCAGGTTAAACCTTGAGAACATAACTAACATCGCAGACAGCTCTGGTCACTTTGAACAATGAAGCAAAAAGGTATTGTTTGAGATTCTAATAATTAATTAAATAATGATGTAGAATATACCATATTTAAAAAGTGACCGTGTAGGCCTGTCACTTAAGGGTATGCTAATCCAACAATTTTTACTTCCTATGATATTATATTTCAAAGATGTCTGCATCTACTTCTCCCATACACAAAATGCATTTGTTTATGCTGAATTTAAAAAGTTAAGTATAGTGTATATCTACTAAAAGGCACGGTGATTATCTAATTATTCAAAGTCATAATTTTGTAGTACAATGTTACAGTATTTGAGGACCCCTGGAGGGTCTCTTCAGCCTCCAGGGATTCCCAACACTGTTTTTGGAAGCAGTGATTTGCAGGTAAAAACCTAAAATGGTTTGTTTTTTAAAGATACACAACCTTTGACTCACATACACTTGCAGTTTACTCTAAAACAAAATTTTTAAAACATTATTGTCATTTTTGTTGTTGTGATTTGCAGAACTCCTACTATTAACATGAAGTGGCTCAGTGGGCATCTGTAACCAACTACCTACTGTATCTTACTTATTCATGTTTTAACAAGAAACATCTTTCTGTTTATCTAAAGATGAATGGTGTTTTTTGTTGTCCTTCATGAGTTCTAATATGTTCCAAAACATACAGTATACATGTTAAAGGAAGGATGTGTTTTTTGTTGTAACTTTAGTTGTAATATGAGAATATTGTTCTTTTGTGCTTTGTACCTGATGTATTAATATTATAAAGGATTTTTTTTTCTTTTTAGCTAGTTTGCTTGACAAAAGTATGATTTATTGGCATGTGTCTACGGTGTAGCAGTATTTGACTTAGATGCTTGTTGAGTTTAACCTCTTTCTGTCTTTTTGGTTAAAAGTCCAGGTTTCACATCCATGCATCAGAGTAGTTCATAAAACTGCATTAAAGATCTGGATTTTTGTAGGTAGTCGGATATTACTTTGACACCCAACTTTCTACATCAAGACATTTGTAGTTTCACTACCTTGGAAGTAACCTCCAATTTCTTTCACAATGGAGCTTAAATAATAAATCAATGCTTTACCGTCTCAAGGTCATCTTGATCAGAAATTTCAATCTGACCATTGTTGGAACATCTGGCGACCATACTTTCTACCCTTACAGTGTAAAGCCAAAGAGGCCTTTTCTAATGTCCCAGCATCATGTGAAAATATAAAATATCATCAGCAAAGATAGCTTTATTTGCTCCATCAAGGGTGCCTGAAAGTGGTCAGCCAAATGAAAAAACAGAAAAGTCCAGGCAGTAGGCAACATACAGGTATCAGCATAATTACGTAAAGCTGGGGAATTACAGAGTCATCCTTCCATGAAATCTATTCTCTTCTGGTCAAATGAGAAATTTCCCGAAGATCATTTTATCTGGAAAAGTATTCTGCATGGTGGTTCTACACAGATTGAAATCAGCAGTAAACGAAGGATAATAGATAAAAGGAGAATCGAACATCATTCAGAGAAAGAAGACCTTGTACTGACCACATTGTTTCATTAAGACAATTGATCAAGAAATGGTCAGAACCCCAAAGACCAAAAATGGCATGCCTTGTGGACTTCAAAGCAGCATTGGACAGCATGCACTGACCATCACTTTGGAGAATTCAAAACGAATATGGGATAGCTCAGAAAGAAGTAAAATCTACCTGTTGCATACAGATTCAGGGGGAAACTCCAGGTGGTTCAAACTGGAATCAAGGGTAAGGCAATAATATATCTGTTCACCACTCCTGTTTGTAAGTCTTATAGACTGGATACTGAAAAGGCATTAAACTAGGAAGAATATAGAGCAGAGATAGAGAAGAGACACAGCAGAAGACATCTAAGCTGTAGACTACCATGCAGACTTTGCTGATGCTATTTTATTATTTGCACCTGAGAATGGCACAAACATTGTATGCATGCTATATAAGATTCAATTAAATGTAGAAGCTAGAGGTCCTTCTCATTTAAATGTAGAAGTTAGAGAGGTATTTTTTATACACTGGGTGCATCATGCCCACAGCAGTGAAATACACTGTGAGAACAGTATCCCTACACTCTATCCATGTTGGAAAACTGTGCACAAAATCTTTTAATGTTTCTCTGATTGAGAAAGGCCCATTCCTTAATATCAGTAAAGTGACAATTACAAAATCTCAGCAGTGTTAGAGCACGGCTCTTAATACAAGAGAATGCAGTACTACTATGAACACAGTGAATGCTCCATGTTACTTAGACCAAGGCTGAGGCAAAATGATCATTTAGCTTCTGTTATTAATCTTGTTAATAAAGCTTTCCACAACCTCTGTACATTTCTATACTGGTGACTCGGCCAAGTACAAAGCATTTTTACATCTATTGAAATAAAATCGGTGAACTCTTAGATGCTCCCAAAATTGTGTTCTGCTCTAATTTTGTTACCTCAGAAAAAGACAAATACATTAGAGTGCTGTGGCTATAGGCAGTTACAACTTTTTAATTTGTACCTTAAACTATTTGCAGCTATTCCTTCAGTTTACATGGAGACATACTGTAAAAACATAATGAGCAGACAGACTTTTTAAAAAACCAGTTTGCATAAATAACATATATTTCTGTACATATTTCTTCATCATCTACAGCATCCTCTTGTGCAGTGGTTTCTATAGATTCAAAGAAGGCATTGGATCATGTGGACTGGAACTACAAATGGGCAGTTTTGGCTCTGTTTATTCATTTATCATTACGGTCCATGGCCCTGTGTCAGTGGTTCTCAGTCCTAGTCTTGAGGGATCTCTGAGATTGCTGGTTTTCCTTGTAGCCTGGCCCCCCAGCTCATGATTCTCACTGATGCATGGAATTGATCTGTTTCTGCATTGAGGCCTTGGTTTAAAAAAAAACTTAGCCATACGCAGTCCCTCCTTAACCTGCTCTTTAAGAATTTGTTCTCTTATTCCTATCTAAGAAGCTCTTAACAGGCAATCATTGTGTGAACGGACACAGGTGAAAATGACAATGTCCCAGAACCATCCCACAATCAGTGTTTGTTGTTTTCTTCTGTGTGAATGGAATTAGTAAACTGAGGAATTTACTCACAATTTACAAACACATATAATAATAGTAAATGTACATTGATTAGCCAAGAACTTAGGTGGTAGACACAAAACACAGATGTCTCCAGGACTTAGAGCTAGCGCCCTAACAATATGTGTGCAGAGCAGGTCAGTGATATTCCCTCAGTTTCCACTAGGCAGAAGTACTGTACCAAAAGGGCTGTTCTTCACCAGTATTTCTTGTTCTTTCAGTATTACCTCAGGTATAGGAGATTAAACAACATATCATCTTTACTTCCATTGACATACTGCAGTCTATTTCATTCATTTGTAGTGTCTTTCTGCTGATATTTCTAGACCAGTTCTTCATGTTCAAATTTCATTTTATTCTGGTAGACCTGGATATAAAATAAATTGGTCCAAATCAATCTTATGCCTTTGAATTCCACATCTAGAACAATGTCTTTTCTATTACATACAGTTATTCTTTTGCAGCACTCAGGCTTTATGTACAGTACATGGGTATTACGACCTCACCAAACTTTTAATAATGTGACTAAAAAGCCTGGTCGTATGTCAAGGGATGATTCTTGGGAGTCATGAAAAATAGACGAAAAGCTGTTTTAATGGACACGGGCCTAATACAAACTATGCTTTGAAACAGCACACAGGCAAAATTACAACCCACAAAGCTGCTGCAGCATGACTGCCAAATCCAATACCTTAAGCTCTACCACCAGCTCCTATTGATGTACAGGTAAGACTCCATTTAAATCAGAGGTCAGGGGTTGTAACCCCACACAAAATGGTGCTACAGATAGGAGACAAGTACAAACTGTGGGTCCACAACAGGTAATGCATAACACAGTAACAAAGTCAACATTTAATACACAGAGGTTCAAGTAGGTAGCTGTCTCAGCATGCATAGTCTGCAAAGGATCAGGTAAAGGTTTATTCCATGCTGAAAGGAAAAGAAAGACGCAACGTTTTGGTTGTGGAGCCTTCGCTAATAAAGCATGGTTGAACAAAAGACAGGGTAATTGAGAGGAGCCAAGAAGCAGGTGAGAAGGAGTATCAACACTCTGGAAGAACTGGAAGAGAGGTGTGAAGTCAAAACCTGCAAATGAATAGGGAATACACACATGAGAATAATGATATTAAGTGGCTATACAAAAATTAAATGTCCTTTCTTTACATACCTTACAGGAATGTCAGGCATGTGAAGGGGTTACGGGAGAGGTATCCAACAGCCCTTCATCACAAGCAAGATTGTGAAGGAAATTAACGTTTTCTTTCACTTCACTCATAAAATTACTCTGATCACTAATACAAAGGTCCAGATGGATTCCTGACTTTAGGTGGGTAGCTGTGTCAGCATGCCTAGGCTGCAAAGGAACAAGTTATAGGTTTATTCCATGCTGAAAAGAGAAGAAAGCAAACACAATGCTTCGGCCGTTGAGCCTTCTTCAGGTGTGAGGGGCCTTCTTCTTTTTTCAGCATGGAATAAACCTATTACTTGTTCCTTTGATTCCTGACTTTATTGCGTTTTGTTTTAACACAAGTAAAGAAACATTTTACAGGACCAACACAAAACCTCATTCAAGGACAGGATTCTATCTACACATCAGAATGGCTATGAAACTGACCTTGCACAAACACAGAAGATCGAGACATCTAAGAATACAGACTTCCACCAGCAACAATCTGCCCACTGCCTTCTT